ACAACGGGATGATGCAATATGGTGCTCTTATAAATTCGAACGCCTTCGGCAGCCTCCGCAGCCGGTGTCACGCTCCTCCACTGGTTCGCTCCGTCAGCCGCTCCTCCTTTCCCCTCTCGTCCTCCCTCTGTTCTTGAATCTCTCTCTCTGACCGCCGCACGGGCACAATTTGGATCCCTTGCTCGGGCGCGACACGGGAAGCAACCCGTGTGATACCTCGGAATCTCCCGAAGGATCGCTATCGGCGATCCCGTATGCGAAACTGCGATACCCCCACGCTAGTCATCCAAAAGTCCGATAGCTGAGGACTTGTCTCGATAGCGATAGTCCGTTTGGCACAAAGAACTCTTTTGCTCGCTCTCGCTTCCCGTCTTCGCAAGGAGTGTCTATCTCATTTTTTAGCCTCGCAGACGTTGGCCCCAGCCGAGATCTCCGCTTCGTTTTTTCCTTTCCTTCTTTCTCCCTCTTCCTGGTCGAATTACGCGCTATCGGGATGAGTTCCAATATTTTCCCTATTTCCCCTCTCCTCTTTTCCGCGTGATCCCGTGTGCTGCCTCATTGTTTGTTTTCCTCGCTGTCGAAAATACACGAATATAAATTGGCAGCGGTATTACGGTAACGGCAAAAATCCTTCGCCAACGGAAACTTGTAACGGAACAAAGACGTCACCTGAGGAGGGGCTCCCTGTCTTCCCGGCAGTTCCTCCACTCCTTCCCCTGGCGGTCTGACCCTCTTCCTCCGCTGCTCCTGCTGGTCGGAGGCCACCCGCGGCGAAAGGGCACACACGCTTCGGGACGCGGGAGCACTACACAAAAAAAACTAAAAGAAAGCAATCTCGCCTTCACGGTACGAGATCGCTAGCCCAAAAGGAGACGTCTCCCCGGAAATCTTATTATGATAACGCCGCTCGCCTCACAGTTGCGGGCGAGCGCGACACTCCCCGGACCTTCTCGAAGGTCCTCCGCCTCTTGTGACGGGCGATCCAAAATCGCGACGTCACACTGTATTATTATTTGTAAGAATGTTTTGTCAACTATTTTATATAATTAATTTTTAGAGCAAATCAATATATTGTCATGTATCTTAAAAAAACACTATGGCTCAAAACTTTTGCACGCCATTGTATACAGGGTGATTCAAAACAACCTTCCATTATTAAAAATATAAAATCCTGATAAAATTCTAAAACAACTTTTCCTCTTGCAAAATTTTGGCAAAAGCTTAGATTTTAAATTATTAACAAAAATAGTAGACCTATTGCGGGTCGGGTACGGGACGTGGACAGGTGCGGCGCAACTCACCGTCAGACGTGGGCGCTAACGCGGAGTACCCGCAGCAATCAGCTGATCACACTACACATGTTATACACTAGCTACGTTCCAATATTCATTGCCAGCATAAAAATCTGTATTTTCTGTGACGCTAGGTAATTGTTATAACTGGCAAAAATTTTGGAAAACCGCCAGGATTGTACGCGCACACACATGCAAGCACGTTCTCGGTCTCTCCGAGTCTTTCTGTCTCTTTCTCACCCATTCACTCGTATTCATTGCACGACCAATGCGAAGCGGCGGTCGTGCGTGGTGGGGGATGGACCAATGGACATCCCGCGACGATCGTATAAATGCGTTGAAACAATCGATGCGTTAATCAATAATCCTGCGGTTATTCGAAGCGTTAACGTCAAGACGATATGGCAGCATACACGAACGAAGAATATTATGACATGCTATTGACACTCGGAGCCTGTCACGGCCAGGTCGCCGCTGCTGCTCAAAGATACGCCGAGCTGTACCCCAACCGAGCAAGACATCCATCGCACCACGTTACAGATACAAAATACAGATTTTTATGCTGGCAATGAATATTGGAACGTAGCTAGTGTATAACATGTGTAGTGTGAGCTGATTGCTGCGGGTACTCCGCTTTAGCGCCCACGTCTGACGGTGAGTTGCGCCGCACCTGTCTACCTCCCGTACCCGACTCGCAATAGGTCTACTATTTTTGTTAATAATTTAAAATCTAAGCTTTTGCCAAAATTTTGCAAGAGGTAAAGTTGTTTTAGAATTTTATTAGGATTTTATACTTTTAATAATGGAAGGTTGTTTTAAATCACCCTGTATAGGGCGTCATATAAGTCCTGGAAGAGCAGAAAAATATGAGTCCTAGAAAAATGTGAAGTACTGGGTTGTTATGATTTTTTCCTGGCTATCAGGCGGTGATCTTGGATTTGACCTTGACAATAACCTTGAAAGTCATTTCGAGGTCAGGCCAATTTTTTTAAATGTGATCCCATATTTTTGATCCCAGAAATGAAGAGCAGCAAATTCTACGTTCGAACATGACCTTGAACACTGCCAAATTTGACCTCTGAAGGTCATATAAAGGTCTAAGTTTGTTTTAGACTGAAAACGCGAATATCTTCGAAAATGCACCTGCTAGGGAGCAATGTTACGCATAAGAATAAGAATAAGAATGTAGAAGTCAACGAGGGACATTCAACCGTGACATTGCCCTTATTTTCAAGGTCATGTGTTAAGATTATTATTAAGGCCGAACCGGACTTTTTTAGGACTGAAAATCCATACTTTTCACCTAAAAGTGTCAAGATTGAAAAATTGTACGTTCGGATATGACGTTTTCAACCTTGACCTTGTTCTCAAAATTATGCGTTTTACGTTACTTCACTGATCGTGAAGTCTATTGAAAGTAAAACGTCTCGGAACCCGACCACTGAAGGCAAGATGTCTCAAACCCGATCACTGAAGGCAAGGTGTCTCAAACCCGGCCACTTAAGGCAAGGTGTCTCAAACCCGACCACTGAAGGCAAGGTGTCTCAAACCCGACCACTGAAGACAAGGTTCAGATAGTCCCGGCCACCGAAGGCAAAGCATCTTGTAACTCGGCCTGAGATTACAAGAGATGTTCAAAATGTTCTCCATTGACCGTTTGACAGTGCTAAGCGGACGTACAAATTGTCAGTCGCACTCCTTATCATTTCTGGAGGTATTGCAGCATACTTGTCTATGATCCGTTGTTGAAGCTCATCCAGGTTACGAGGTTTAATGAAATAAACTTTATTTTTTATGTAGCCCCAAAGAAAGAAATCAAGTGGTGCAATGTCGGGCGATCTCGGTGGCCATTCAATTGTTCCTCTTCTACCTATCCATCGATTAGGGAAAGTATCGTTTAAATAGTTCCGAACAATGCATCTATAATGTGGCGGTGCCCCATCTTGCTGGAACCAAACATTATCAAAATTATCACCAACAATCTCCTGTATTGATGGAACAATTTAGTCTGTTAGAAGCTGCAGATAGGTTTCTGAGTTCAAATTCCCATTTATAAAAAAAGGCCCAACCACTTGATTATCATATAGACCTGCCCAAACATTCAATTTTTGAGGTCGCTGCGTATGTCGCTTCAAATATCCAATGAGGATTTTCGTTATCCCAATATCTAAAATTATGACGGTTTACCTTACCAGTAATTTCAAAAGACGCTTCGTCTGAAAAAACGATATTATGCAAAAAGTTTGGTTGCTGATCAATTCTTTGCATCATAACTTCTGAAAATTGCACCCTGCGGTCAAAATCATTTTCATTCAACTCATGGTGGAGATGAATTTTGTAGGGATGGAACTTAATGGTTTTTAGATTTTTGGAAATTGACAATACACTCATTTGAAGCTGTGGAGATGCTTCTCTAATTGACAATCTGGGAGTTTCAACAAATGATTGAGCTACTTCAAATTGTCCCTCTTCTGTCGTTTGGGACCTTGGCCTCCCAGATTTTTGGCGGTCTTTATTACTCCCAGTTTCTACAAATCGTCTGATGGTGCGAGATACAGTCGATATTGAAATACCTTCGCCTTCATTACGAAAGTTTTCATTGAACAGCTATCTCACTTCACTGTATGACCTTTGTCTATCTCCCATCCTCTCATCATCAATAGTGAGTCTCTCACGCTCTGTAAGAGAAGCCATTTGGAATTGAAAACAAAAAATTTGCAAAAATTTGGTATAAAAAATTCGGTTTCTTTACCTTTAAATAAAAATAATAAGTAATGTACCATTGATCGTTAATAATAATATGATAATAATTCAAAACGGACTAGAATGACATCAAAACTTATTAAATCGATGAAAACTCAAAAACAATCTATTATCTGTTTGACACTGATAGAATCGAGACAAATAAAAACTTTGAAGCATACACTTCATCGATAGCGAATAAATTTTTCGGATATCGATTCTGGGATTTTTAAGCTCGCTAAAACCAAATCCGATGTCAGATTTTACAAATTCAAGATGGCCGATTCAAGATAGCGGCCGATATTTAAGAATAACAAAAATTGGATCTCGTTTTTTAGGAGTTTTTGAAGTCGTTTCTGAAGTCGAATCCGACATTGGATTTTACAAATTCAAGATGACCGATCCAAAATGGCGCCCGATATTGAGGAATTACCAACAATCGGAGTGTGACCTCGTACGTAACGTAAAATCTCACTCTTCACATTATGGGGGGTAAAAGTATGTGTTTCCAGCCTAAAAAAATTAATTGACCTTGATATGACTGACACATAACCTTAACACTTAGCCGACCGATCGGGGAGATCTCCCCGTTTCAATGTAAGTCGCTGCACGACCGATCGGGGAGATCTCCCCGTTTCAATGTAAGTCGCTGCACGACCGATCGGGGAGATCTCCCCGTTTCAATGTAGGTCGCTGCACGACCGATCGGGGAGATCTCTCCGTTTCAATGTAGATCGGTGCCCAACCGATCGGGGAGATCTCCCATATTGACCTTAGCAACGCTTTTTTTTGTTTTTGTTTATTTATCTACATAGTTACGTTGGAGTTGTTCGCTTGATCTCGAATTGTTATATGTATATTGTTGTCCGTATAAAGCACAGTATATAATAAAATCCATCAATTTAATGGTGTTAAAGTTATAAATTTAAAAAATAAAGTGTAGGGTATAAAAAAATACCGTTAAAAATGTGGAGAAATAACAATGAAAATTTTAATGATGAGTTGTTCATGGACGCGCTGTCAGACTGTTCTGAAGGCAACGATGTGCAGATAAGCGATTATGAATCTAGCGAAAATGATAGTATTGTTCGTCCCATACGTCAAAATAATCGTCGAATACTTCTGAGCGAAACGGAAGATGATGCTGTGAGTTCCACCTCTGACACGGATGAAGACAGTGTTGTCAATGATGACGATGATTGGTCACAGAATGATATAGAACTTCAGCTAGAAGCATATGGTCGAACTTCAAGCGTGAACACGCTACCTCAAGATCAAGAAAACGTATGGGAAATAGTGCAGTTGTTTCTGGGTAATGATTTATTTGAATTATTTGTTACAGAAACAAATAGATATCACTCTCAAGTTGTAAACAGGTATAAAGAATATAAAACACTGAGATGGGTTGATGTCACAGTGACAGAAATGAAAAAATTTCTGGGTTTAATTATCTTGATGGGACAAATACGTAAAGATGATATATATGACTATTGGTCAACTCTTTCATATATAGAAACCCCAATTTTTCCAAAAATAATGAGTCGCAATAGATTTATGCAAATATGGAGAATGTGGCATTTTTGCAATAATGATCTATTGTATGACAAGACCGACAAATTATTCAAAATTAGAGAAGTTTTAAATTATGTACAAAACAAATTCCAAACTGTATATACGCCAAAGCAAGAATTGTCACTGGATGAAGGCATAATACCGTGGTGAGGCAGATTATCTTTTCGCACCTATAATCCCGCAAAACTTGTAAAATACGGAATTTTAGTGAGGATGCTCTGCGAAGCAACATCAGGATATATTTGCAACTTCAAAGTATATTCAGGCACAGCAGGAAGATTACAAGATACAGTTTTATCAATTCTACGTCCTTATATGGGATTCCATCATCACATTTACATGGATAATTATTATAATAGCGTCAATACAGCCGAATTACTGCTACAGAATTCTACGAGAATTTGTGGAACAATAAGGTCAAATAGAGGATTGCCGCAGAATTTAAAGAACATTAGATTAAATGAACATGAAACGAAATTTGCGAGAAAGGGACAAGTTCTTTTACACCTGTGGCAAGCAAAGAAAAACCGACTAGTAAGAACCATTTCAACCATTCACTCAGCAGAAATGGTAAACGTGTCACATTGGTCAGGAACGAAAACAAAACCCAAATCTGTTGTGGAATACAACAAATATATGAAAGGGGTTGATCGTGCAGACCAATATATGTCTTACTATAATATTCTTCGAAAAACCACGAAATGGACAAAAAAAGCAGTGCTTTACTTTTTGAATGCTGCTCTTTTTAATTCATTTCTCGTAAAAAAAACACTAAATAATAATAAAGTAACATATAAAAAATATTTGCTTCAAGTTGCAAGAGCATTGATAGAAACACACGAAATGCAACATTCATCCACCGAGGAGGCAGAACCTTCGAACGCGATAGAAAGAACAAGACGAGCACCGAGGTATGACCCACCAGAAAGGCTTTCTCAAGATTTTAAAAAACACAGATTAGTACCAATTGTATCTAATGGAAAAAAAGCATATCCTCACCGAGCATGTAGAGTATGCTCTGCTAATAAGAAAACTGGATATACGCGATATGTTTGTGAATATTGTAATGTACCACTGCATAAACTGGCATGTTTTGAACGATACCACACAGTAAAAAAATATTAAAATGCATTACTATTGTTTTATTTCATGTTTGGGTTATTTATCTTCAGTCATCTTTAATGTTCATAATTTTCAAACTCTATTACATATACTCTATTACTAACTCTATTACTTTTTGAACAACTACAAAAAATAATTGTTATATATTTTTAATTTCATGTTTTGTATAAACAATATGTGAAATCGTTAAATAAAATTGTTACCCCAAGATATAATTGACACTTAAATAATTTTCAAACTATTTTGATTTTAAGTACCGCATATCAGTCCGCGTCACTTGCGAAACCTGCGTGGTGGACAGCGTAGTTTGGGTTGCTCGAGCGTGGTGGAAACCATACAGTTCGCTGCGGCGCGCGTGGTCGGCTAAGTGTTAAGAATAAGGTCAAGGTTGAAAGCGTCATATCCGAACTTAAAATTTTTCAATCTTGACACTTTTAGGTCAAAAGTATGGATTTTCAGTCCTAAAAAAAGTCCAGTTTTATTTTAATAACAATCTTAACTACATTCTTATTCTTATGCGTAACATTGCTCCCTAGCAGGTGCATTTTCGAAGATATTCGCGTTTTCAGCCTAAAACAAGCTTAGACCTTTATGTGACCTTCGGAGGTCAAACTTGGCAGTGTTCAAGGTCATATCTGAACTTAAAATTGTCCGCTCTTTTCATTTATGGGGTCAAAGGTATGAGGTCCCATTTTTTAAATTGACCTGACCTCGAAATGACCTTCAAGGTCATTGTCAAGGTCAAATTCAAGGTCACCGTCAGATAGCCAGGAAAAAATCATAAAAACTCAGTACTTCGCATTTTTTCTAGGACTCATATTTTTCGAGTTATTCTGCTCTTCCGAGACTTTTATAACACCCTGCATATTTATGTAACATGTTTACAGTTAAGACCAACATCATACGTACAGTTTTGCAACGCATGATTTCATCAATGCGATATTTTTAGTATACGAGGTGTGGCTATAAAATAACGAGACTATTGCTGCAAAACATTGTAACGAGGAGTTTTACCCCCGTTACCATCGTGTGACGGCGACCACCGATCGTCACACGATCGCGAGAAATCCTCGCTAAGCACCCGGCAACACCTATGCCGCGGCAACCCGCCAGACCGCCGGGAAAGGCCGAATTCTCCGAAACGGTCGGGGAAGATCGGTCCCCCCAGAAAGGGGTAATTCGCGGAAATCGCATGCGCGACTTTCCGGGAAATCGGGGGAACTAATCCCCCGATTATCGGCCACCGATCGTCGAGAGGAATTTAGGGTATAAAACCCGCTCTCGACGAGAGATCGAGGCAGACCGTGAGAGACAGTCAGTCAGTCAGATCATCCTACCAAGGAGAGCTCCAGCGAGAATCGTGAAGAGAAGTCGACGAGAAGGCAAGGCATCCGCCGGTGAGTAAAGCTTCCACACCGTACCGAACCACCGGGAACTTTTACAAGACCCGGCAGCCGAGCCTCGTCAAGCGACCGGCTTCGCGAATATACCGTATTCATCCGTCTGTGTCGGCAGCAGTTAGCCACCGACACGGAAGATTTCTAAGTATCCGTTCGCGAATTTACCGTATTCGTCCGTCTGTGTCGGCAGCAGTTAGCCACCGACACGGAAGGTTTCTAAGTATCCGTTCGCGAATTTACCGTAATCGTCCGTCTGTGTCGGCAGCAGTTAGCCACCGACACGGAAGATTTCTAAGTATCCGTTCGCGAATTTAGCGTATTCGTCCGTCTGTGTCGGCAGCAGTTAGCCACCGGCACAGAATATTTCTAAGTATCCGTTCGCGGATTTATACGTACTCGTCCGTCGACGTTAGGCAGCAGTTAGCCGCCGCGCCGACATAGACTAAGTTTCTGTTTCCGAACGAACGGCAGCAGTTAGCCACCGTTCCGCGATTTCTAAGTGTTCGTCCGTCGACGTTAGGCAGCAGTTAGCCGCCGCGCCGAATTAGACTAAGTATCTGTTTCCGAACGAACGGCAGCAGTTAGCCACCGTTCCGCGATTTCTAAGTGTTCGTCCGTCGACGTTAGGCAGCAGTTAGCCGCCGCGCCGACATAGAATAAGTATCTGTTTCCGAACGAACGGCAGCAGTTAGCCACCGTTCCGCGATTTATAAGTGCACGTCCGTCTGTGTCGGCAGCAGTTAGCCACCGACACAGAATATTTCTAAGCATCGGTTCGCGGAATTATCGGTGCTTGTCCGACTTTGTGTCCGTGATAAGCTACCGGAATAAACCACCTCTCGCTTATCCGAAAGAACAGCTGGCGTAAAGCGCCCTCAACAGGACTCGTGGCCGAGGACGTCGGACTGCCACGAGGCCGCGGAACATCCCCTCTGACCCCGCGGATAGGGGACCATCTTTGCGGCTAAGCGGGGAGTCACGAGCACCGAGGAACGGGCATCGCCGACGCCACACCGAGCCAGCGAGCCGCCTACATACATTTATATATATATAGAACCGAATATCTTTTTAAATAAACGGGGCGCCTTGCGGGGCGCACCCAAACTTGTTAATACCGAAACACTGAACGCATCTTTCTTCCAAGAAGCTACCTTGCACCTCCTGCCCTTCACCCGAGTAACGCACCGACGCGGCGGCGAGCGAGGCGTCGCGGAAGCGGCGAGCCGGGCGCGACGGTGGGGCGACCGATCGCACCGAACCCCGCGGGCGTAACCGTTACATGGCGATCCTGCCAGGATCGGTCAACTAGGGTGAAGAGAAAGGAAGAAAAAAAAAACTGAGGAAACACAGCGAAGAAAATGTCGAAGGCGTGGATACAGGAGCTACGCAAACCCGAGATCGCCCGAATTCTCGGGGAACATGGGCTCGAAATAGAGGGGTCGATCGACGACCTGCGCCACCGACTGCGGAGGTTCGTGGACGACCACCCCTCAATGTTCGAGGCCGGGCCGCGGAGACGGGTTATCCCGGCCCCAGTGTTGGCGGATGAAGAGTCCTCCCGAGGAGGCTCTGTCATGGGGATAGATCCCCCCGTAAGGATCCCCACCGATGCGCAGGCCATGATGTGCGTCCACAAATGGGACTGTCGATTCTCCGGAAAGGACCCGCTGGACTTCCTGGAGCGAGTGGACGAGCTCCGGACCTGTTATGGAGTCACGACCGCCCAGCTGTTGTGGTGCATTCCGGAACTCCTGCGCGGAGACCCGCTGCGTTGGTACCGAAACCACCGGACCGCCTGGACAACCTGGGAGGACTTCTGCGCCGCTTTCCGGAATCACTTCCTTCCGCCGAGATACCGAGGACAGCTGCGGCGGAAAATATTGGAGCGCCGCCAGCGCGCCGGGGAGGCATACCGGGAGTATGAGACCGCCATGCTCACGATGATGCGCCGTAGCGGGGATGATGATTACCTGGACAACGCCATACCGCTGCTCTATGACAACCTAGATGCCGGCTACAAAATGTTCATAGGCGCACACGAGATCCGAGATGTGGCCCACTTGGGACAACTAGCCCGCCAGTATGAGGATATCGTCCAGCAGCGCGAGGAACAGGGGCGACCGATACGAACCACCGGCCCTACGGTCGCCGCGCTTTTATACGACCGAGCAACGTGTTGCTGGAAATGCAAACAGCCGGGACATCATCGCCGAGCTTGCCGACAACCAGCCGTAAAATTCTGCTCACGCTGCGGCAAGGACGGCGTATTAACCCGCCAGTGTCATCCCACGGCGGGAAACGGGTCCGCGGCCGGGAGTGGCGCCACCACGACCCGGCCCTCCGCATAACATATCAGCCCAGACCGTACCTGACCATCCGGTACCAGCAACGCCCATTAAGGGCACTAATTGACTCTGGAGCAGAAACATCCTTAATCGATATTCGATCACTACGCGACGAAGATCTCCCACGAGGGGAAGCCGGCCGGATCACGCTGGCAGATGGAACCGGCAGCCCGACATACGGTCGGACTTGGCTCCACGTAGAGGTGGGACGGCAGCAGTACCGCCACCAATTTACCGTGATGGCCAACCTGACCACGGAAGTCATCATCGGGGTGGACCTCTG